GCCGTGACTTTCTGTTAGACTAGCTAGTTCAGTGGTTCTCAACCTTCCTAATGCTGCTGCCATGTATTTTCATTGTTACAAAGGGGTCATGACCCACAGGTTGAGAACTGCTGAGCTAATTTGACATCTACACCCCCTTTGGACATCACATAGGCTGCTAAACCCAGGTCAGCTCAGATCCAGTGTTTCAGTAGCACCAAGTTGCTTGAAGGATGAGGGTGAGGGATGCACATCTGGGATGAGCTAAGTTTTGACTTCTAAGCAAATATTTTGAATGAATGTTGTGTTCTGTGTTAATAACTGAGGACCCAACAAAGAATAAGAATTGTCTCTGGGTCCCTCAGGATCTTGCAAGATTTCATTCTAATGGTTTAAGTAAGTTTTAGTGAAGATGTGCAAATAACATATACAACATATGGCAGGATTTAGAGAAAGAATAAAGGTGATGCACCCAGGAACTAGCAGTGGTAGTAAGCCTTTGACTAGGGACCCTGGGTGACATGGCAATGCATTCTGTTGTGGTCAGCCTCCAGGAGCACAAAGACAGCAAGAGAAGGAGTGGGGTGGGGTGGGGTGCAAGCAGACTTATCATGATGTGTCTCCCAGAGTTCAGTGTTCTGTACATGTGAGCCATGTCCTGGAGCTGGGCAGAGTTTCCTAAGCTCTTTAAATCTTTGCTGGAGCAGATTGTGGTATAGTGGGAAGAATCAGGCTTTAAAGTCAGATAGCTCAGTGTAGAATCACAGGTCCACCACTTTGTAACTGTTAATCTTGGATGAGATACTTCTCCCTGGGCCTCAGCTTGCTCATCTGGAAAGAGCTATGTCCCAGGGTTACTGTAAGAATTAAATTAAAAAGTGTAAACATACTTGGCATACACTGCTTAGTCCCTGACTGGTGCTCAGCAGATGGTAGTTTTCTTTGGAGGAGACAGGTTTGTGTTTTTGTGGGATTTCCCTTTGAAATTGTAATAATGTAAAGATCTAGGTAATAGGCAAACCTGAAATTGCCTGGTCCTCAGTATTGTCAGTGTTAGACTTCACTTCTAAATATGTAGATTATCAGTAAATGTAATTTGTTTTTATTAGATAATTTTAAATAACTGGCCTGTTTCATCAGAGAATTTGTTAAATCTTTGTCATCTCAATGATTGTTCAGTTTTGAGATTTTTTTCTGGTGTAAATTGCAAAGGATATCACAGTATACATCCAGTGGTCTGGCAATGTTAGCAACCCTGCCTACTGTTCAGGAAATCCTCAGAGCCTCTAAGTTTGGATATTCTGATAGACAGTGCAAAGTGGGATCAGACTGATGCCCCAGAAGGGAAGTGTTTTCTGTCTTTGCTACCTCTTTCCAAAATTCAGTGTTTTTTGGCATTTTTACTAATTTTGTGTCTCTTCCCTAACCCAGTTCTCTGTAGTTCATTTGTTGCTTTATGTTCAGACATCAGCCTGCTGGTCATACATTGTGGAAACTGCTTTTGAAAATAAGTAGAATGAATGTGTCTTTTCCATACTGATCACAAAATAAACCTGTTAATCGATTGGTTTTTCTTCCCCAGAAAAGTAACTTTTGAAAAACAGTGGTTCTACCTGGATAACATCATTGGCCAAAGTTATGGAACCACATTTGAAGTGACCAGTGGAGGAAGTCTTCAGCCCAAGAAGAAGCAGCAAGAGCCTACTGCAGGTGCACTACTTTGGGTGTTTGAAATAGATGCTGTCCAGCTGGCTAGTCAGAAGCATGTCAAGCTCCAGTGAATTCCAAAGTGCTAGCCCATGATATGCAGAAAGTAATCTTAACTTATAATCTAAGAATGATGGCTAGGTGAAATGAAACAAGTACTACCTTTGTCCATGAGATCACCTGGATTCTGGTACCAGCCCACTATTACTTGGTTCTCTGAGCTTGGGCCAGACATTTAATCCCATGAGTCCTTCTTTCTTCATTGCATGAACAAGTATAGAACTCTTTTAGTGCCTAGAAATTAAGTAATAGCTACAAGGTAGCTAGCATATCGTGGAGAGGTTAAGAGGTCTGACTTTGAATCCAACTAGCTAAGTTTAATTTCTAGCGTCATCACTTGCCTTATAACTTTAGGCAAGTTATTTGGTTTCTGTAAGTCATATATCCTTATATGTGTATGGGGCCATGCACACACTTAACGCTTAGGTTGTAGTGAGTGTTCAGTGCTCAGATTCACGGGAAGTTCTGAACAGTGCCTTGCTTTTAGTAGGGGCCCATAATTTTAGTTACTAATATT